TTCTCATGTGGGCACTTATTGCTATATATTTTCCTCTAGATACTGCTTTAAATGTGTCCCAGAGATTTTGGTATGTTGTGTCTTCATTCTCGTTGGTTTCGAAGAACATCTTTATTTCTGCCTTCATTTCATTGTTTATCCAGTCAACATTCAAGAGCAAGTTGTTCAGTTTCCATGAAGCTGTGCGGTTCTGAGTTAGTTTTTGAATTCTGAGTTCTAACTTGATTGCACTGTGGTCTGAGAGACTGTTTGTTACGATTTCCGTTCTTTTGCATTTGCTGAGGAGTGATTTACTCCCAATTATGTAGTCAATTTTAGAGTAGGTGTGATGTGGTGCTGAGAAGAATGTATATTCTGTGGATTTGGGGTGGAGAGTTCTGTAAATGTCTATTAGGTTTGCTTGGTCCAGGTCTGAGTTCAAGTCCTGGATATCCTTGTTGATTTTCTGTCTGGTTGATCTGTCTAATGTTGACAATGGGGTGTTAAAGTCTCCCACTATTATTGTGTGGGAGTCTAAGTCCCTTTGTAAGTCATTAAGAACTTGCCTTATGTATCTGGGTGCTCCTGTATTGGGTGCGTATATATTTAGGATCGTTAGCTCTTCTTGTTGCATTGATCCTTTTACCATTATGTAATGTCCCTCTTTGTCTCTTATGATCTTTGTTGCTTTAAAGTCTAATTTATCAGAGATGAGAATTGCAACTCCTGCTTTTTTTTGCTCTCCATTTGCTTGGTAAATCTTCCTCCATCCCTTTATTTTGAGCCTTTGTGTATCCTTGCATGTGAGATGGGTTTTGTCTTTTTATCCAATTTGCCAATCTGTGTCTTTTGATTGGGGCATTTAGTCCATTTACATTTAGGGTTAATATTGTTATGTGTGAATTTGATACTGCCATTTTGGTGCTAGCTGGCTGTTTTGCCCTTTAGTTGAGCTGGTACTTGTTGTTCCTTTATATGTGTAGAGCCTCTTTCAGGAGCTCTTGTAGAGCTGGCCTGGTGGTGACGAAATCTCTGAGTACTTGCATGTTCCCAAAGGATTTTATTTTTCCTTCACTTATGAAGCTTAGTTTGGCTGGATAGGAGATTCTGGGTTGAAAGTTCTTTTCTTTAAGGATGTTGAATATTGGCCCCCATTCTCTTCTGGCTTGTAGGGTTTCTGCTGAGAGATCTGCTGTGAGTCTGTTGGGCTTCCCTTTATGGGTAACCCGACCTTTCTCTCTGGCTGCCCTTAGTATTTTCTCCTTCATTTCAACCCTGGTGAATCTGACGATTATGTGCCTTGGGGTTGCTCTTCTTGACGAATATCTTTGTGGTGTTCTCTGTATTTCCTGGACTTGAATGTTTGCCTGCCTTGCTAGGTTGGGGAAGTTTTCCTGGATAATATCCTGCAGAGTATTTTCCAGCTTGGATTCATTCTCTTCGTCGCATTCGGGTACGCCTATCAAACGTAGATTAGGTCTTTTCACATAGTCCCACATTTCTTGTAGACTTTGTTCGTTCCTTTTTACCCTTTTTTCTCCAGTCTTGCCTTCCCGTTTTATTTCATTGAGTTGATCTTCAACCTCTGATATCCTTTCTTCTGCTTGGTCAAGTCGGCTGTTGATACTTGTGCATGCTTCACGAAGTTCTCGTGTTGCAGTTTTCAGCTCCATCAATTCACTTACATTCCTTTCTATTTTGTCCATTCTTGTTAGCATTTCGTCAAATCTTTTTTCAAGGTTCTTAGTTTCTTTGCATTTGGTTAGAACATGTTCTTTAAGTTCACAGAAGTTTCTTACTACCCACCTTCTGAATTCTGATTCTGTCATTTCATCACACTCATTCTCCATCCAACCTTGTTCCCTTGCTGGCGAGGAGTTGTGATCCCTTTTAGGAGGAGAGGTGTTCTGGCTTCGGGTGTTTTCATCCTTTTTGCGCCGGTTTCTTCCCATCCTTAAGGATTTATCCACCTGTCGACTTTGTAGTTGCTGGCTTTCAGATTGGGTCTCAAATCTTTCAGATTGACGTTCTGTTTGTTGATGATGAGGTTATTTCTGCTTCTTGGTTTTCCTTCTGACAGTCTGGCCCCTCTGCTGTAGGTCTGCTGAGGTTCACTCCAGGCCCTGCTTGCCTGGGGTTCACCTGCAGCAGCTGTTGAACAGCAAGGGTTGTTACCAGTTTTCTTCTTCTTCTATCTTTGTCCCAGAAGGATACCCGCCTAGTGTCAATCTGATCTCTCCTCTATGAGGTGTCTTTTTGGATATATAGGGGTCAGGGAGCTGCTTGAGGAGACGGTCTTTTCTTTATAGGAGCTCAAATGGTGAGCTGTGAGCTCTGTTGTTGTTCATTCAGAGCTGCTGGGCAGGTACTTTTAGGTCTGCTGCAGCAGAACTCATAAACTGCTTTTTGTTCCCAGGTGCTCTGTCCCAGGGATTTAGGGCTTTATTTATGAGTTTCCGTTATGCTGCTGCCTTCTTTTTTTTTTTTTTTTTTTCTTTTTTTCCTTCAGACCTGCGCAGCCCAGCAAGGAGGCAGCCTAGTCACTGTCGGCCTATAGCAGCTTTGCTGAGCTGCTGTGGGCTGCGCCCCGCTGCCGAGTGAACTTCCCTGCAGTCCTGTTTATATGGGTGTAGTTAGAACTGCTTTGGCGATGGTGGCCCGCCTCTGTTGGTGCGGAGTCTCTGCTGTGGCGGGTTGCCTTGGCAACGGCAGGCTGCCTCAGCAATGGCGGGTTGCCTTGGCAACGGCGGGCTGCCTCGGTAATGGCGGACGCCCCTCCCCCACAGAGCTGGACTGTCCCGGGTTCAGCTGCGCTCGCTGTGAAATTCTCAATCCAGAGTTTCTGGTTGCTGTTCTTTTATGGGGGTGGGGCCAGCCGAGCCTGATCGCCCGGCTCCCTGCCTCAGAGCCTTTTTTAAGTTGGTGTTCCAGTCGCCTGTTGAAGAGGCGCCGGGGTCTGTTTGTTTTCCCCTGCGGCCCCTCACTGTGCTGGCTTAAACAGCGGCACTGAGGTTTGTGGCGCTTTTTTTTCTTTTTTTTTTTTGCCCTGGAATCTACTGTCCTGGTTCTCTGCTCAGTCCCCTTTTTGAACCAGCATATGGGCGACTTCCTGTGGCTCCAATCGCCAGCCAAAAGGGCACCCGGACCGGTGTATTTTGTACGGAGAACCGTGGCTCCGGGGCGCCGACAAAGCAGCCGCGCGGGGCACAGCAGCGCTGGCCACAACAGCCGCGCTGGCGAGCGTGGAGCACCTCTGCCCGGGAATTTCCTAGTCTGTGGGCAATAAAAACGCGGCGTCCACTCACCCTCTGCGCTTTCACTGGGAGCTGCAATCCTGAGCTGTTCCTAAACGGCCATCTTGGATCTCCTCCTGAAAGGCATTTTCTTAAGTTCATTTTTTGATTCTTCATACCAAATACATAAAAATTCAACTGATTTTTATGTTGATCTTATGTTTTATATCATTGCTAAGTTTATTAGTTCTTATTGTTTTTAATGAATTTTTAGAAGTTTTATGTACAAGATCGTATTATCTAAAGAGAGATAGTTTTACTTCTTTTCTATCTGGAATGTTGTTTTTTTTTCTGCAACTGCCTTGGCTACAACCTTCAATGCCTTGTTCAATAGAAGAGGCAAGAGCAGACATCCTTGTCTTCTTTCTGATCATAGGGGCAAAGCATCTAGTCTTTGACCATTATATTATATATTTCATTATGTTATTCATAGATGCCCTTTAGATCCATTAAATGTTTAGTAGCTACTAAGCCCCCTAGTTTAATTGTCCTGAGAGGATTTTTGAATCCCTTTTAGTCTTAGTTTTATTTTGTCCTTAATAATCCTAATCTTTTCCCTACCATTCAGCCATATTAAGAAGGAAATGAGCTAGTAGGTCTGTGACAGCCTTCCTCACGTCATTAGAAACCTGTGTCAGTATAGTCTATATGAAACTAAACATAAGAATGACTATGCCTACATGAGACTTGCAATACAGAATTAGTTAACATGGTCCTTGGTTTATACCAGCCCATAACATAAGGGGCAAGTGCCAGAAAATACTGCTATACATCTATTTTGTATAACTCTGGATAATTGGTAAAAATAATTTGACCGATTTTATTAAAACATTTGATAATACTAATCTTGATGAATTGGGATCTTGATTTAAAACCACCACAAGGTATTCTCTTGATGGAAGGTGATTGGTTGGAGAAAGAACTACATTGAGTTACGTAATTTTACATTGAATCAATATATTGGTACATTTCATAAAGTTTAAATTTTTTTTTCTTTTCGAGACCGAGTCTCGCTCTGTTGCCCAGGCTGGAGTGCAGTAGCGCGATCTTGTCTCACTGCAACCCTGCCTCCCGGGTTCAAGCGATTCTCTTGCCTCAGCCTCCTGAGTAGCTGGGATTACAGGCGTGTGCCACCATGCCTGGGAGCTAATTTTTGTATTTTTAGTAGAGATGGGGTTTCACCATGCTAGCCAGGCTGGGCTTGAACTCCTGACATCATGATCTTCCCACCTTGGCCTCCCAAAGTACTGGGATTACAGGTGTGAGCCACTGCGCCCAGGCCATAAAGTTCAATTTCTAACTGAGAGAGGATTCATCAAGCTTGTACATGATTAAGAACAAGTTTGCACTGGAATGTTTGATAAACTACGTTTCTTGAACATTACACCTACACTGCATTGGATGGCTAAAAATGATTAGAAAAGAATGATGATGAGTAATTTGGTTAAGAAAGCTTGGCCCAAGGTAGGGACTGTACGAGTCAGAATTAATCTCAGCTGGGCTACTGTACCCCTGTGCTTATCTCTAAGAATGCCGGGATCCATGGTGCTGATATTTAGCCAAACCTGAATGAAGTTAACTAGTGATGAATTCCAGTCCTGGGCTATAGAGACTAAGATAAACCAGAGGGCAACTTGTGCTGGCTTGCCAGCATTGTTTAATAGAAAATGTAAAGATTGATTTTACATTTTGCACCTAGTTTTTGTCATGTTCCCTTGGTTTCTGCAGTTGAGCCTGATTTTTCCTACCTGACCAGAGAGACATAAAAGACCTCTCCTTGAACAAGAATCGGGTTCCCCTGGGAGCTGTGTCTAGAAGTTCTGGACCCCTCTAATGTTTCCCTGTGCTTGCTTCCTTCTTGTATACTGTAACCTCTACCTTTATTAATGCCTATTAGCCACAAGAATCCCAATTATATGACCCATATACCATCTTATTTTGGAAAAAAATCTGAGTTGTGGCTTTTTATTTATTCTCAGAGATGGCCATTAGGACATGTATTCAGCCAACAATGTTTGATCAGCTTATACATCACAGAGTTGTGTTACAAATTTACCTTCAAGTTCACAATACATACAAGAAATTAGCAAATCATTAGTAGAGATTTGACTGTTGTGATTGGCTTCCAATATTGTAACTGTGACTTTTATTCCTGATTTTGTCAATGTGGAATGAGATGTATTAACTTACACTGTGTTGCTCAAGTGAGACTAAAAGCACAATCCATGCTACCTGCACCATAGCCCACTTTCAGCATAAAGAACTCAAATGTATTCTTCAAGCAGTACACATCCTACATTGGAAGAATGTTCTAAGATTGTATGGGTAACTGTTGCTCCTGTGAAATATGACAGTCATCAGATTCCTTCTATTTTGAGTGTAATAGGAAATGGCACCAATAGTGTGCCATAGTACCTACTTTGGGGGATAAAAAAAACCATGCTCATTTCACCACTTTGTTCCTCTTTATTTCATGCAATTTTAGGTAGATGTGTACACTAAAATCCAACACTGTCCCCAAGAAAGACTGTCAAGAATTACCAAAAAAAAGTAGCATATTAATCTCTTTTCTTGGGAATATTGAATATGTTTCTTGTTACTTACTTGCATCTAAGTTCTGACTGATTTTTGCAGGGAAAACAAGGCAAACACATTTTATATGGCTGCAGTGAGCTTTTTAATGCTACACAGTTCATTAAGCAGGTAAAGTATACCTTTGTTGTTTGTTTCTGTTAATATACCCATGTTGCTATTGGTATTATTCAAAAGAGAAAAAGAAAACCACTTACTCACCTGAACCAGCTGAAACCAAAAGCCATACAGCTATACCAAGATAGGCATTGCCATGGACAACTAAGAAGAAAATCTTGATAAAATTGTTTCCAGTAGGAGTGTACACATCCTTCCAGAGCTGAAAGCCTTTGCTGTGGCTTTTAATAATCCTTTAGAAACACAGAAATATATGAGAACTGTCAGTAGTCTGTCACTCATGACATTTCTCTTTATATTTTCACAAAGTTAATACTTTTTTTCATTCCCATGGTTTTGTTTTCCATCAGTTAACATTACCTAATAATGTTTACATTTCTTTGCTATGATGATGTTTATTGCAATTCTATTTTCTTTTCTTTTTCTTGGTAGAAACAGTCTCTTGCTATGTTGCCCAGGTTGGTCTTGAACTCCTGGCCTCAAGTGATCCTCCCGCCTCAGCCTCCCAAGTAGCTAGGATTACAGGCATGAGCCACTGTGCCCAGCCTTCAGTTTTTAAATATCTGCAGATGTTTTACATTTGAGTTAGTGATAAACATTAGGAAGTGGAAGTTCTTAAAGGGTTTACAAGTATGTTTGAATGCTGCTTTTGTGATCTTTTTAAAAAGTTTTACGTATGATTTTGTGTTTTATTTTGTTTCAGTTGTCACAACTTGGACAAAAGTAACACAGAAGAACCTTACTATGATAATCTACTTGGAATGTGGATAAATGTAAAAAGAAAATAAATGTTTCCCTCTCTATAACAATGTCCTAACAGTGAAATTGAGAGTTGTTTGCTAATTTTTAAGGAAATTCTATACTTAATATAATAGGTATTGATTAAAAAAATAAAACATTTCAGAAATAAAATTTCAACATTGTTCATTTTCTCTCCTGTTTGATAAATGAGAAAGTACTTTGGAAGTAAGGAAAGCTCCATCTGAGTATAATATTAAAATAATAATAATAACTAATAGGTTATGATTGAAGTTGGTGACATTTTAAGATTATCATATACAGATTTTATTTGATTGGTTCATGAGTCCCCTACTTGTATGCATTTTAATTGTACAACTACTTTCTCATAGTTTTTTGGGTATCCATGTTGCCTCTAGATTTTAGATGGAGATTTTAAGACACTTTAATGTCTCTTCTCCTTCTGGCACACATATGTACATTTTATCACATAAAGTCCCTCCTTCATGTAATGGTGATCAAGGCAACACTAACATGATTTGGAATGGACAAATACAAAACGTTCATCGCATGAAGTTCTAAATAATATTGATTACAAGCTTCTTTGATATGCATTACTGACAAGTATTGATCAGTCATACTGTTCAGCATGTCCATAAGATAAAAAGCAAGTCAACTGCTTGAAAGGGAAGGAAAAAAAAAAAAAAACACTTCCTATTATAAAGCCAGGGAGCTTTCCCTCCTAATGAGTCTCATATCAACAGGAATCTGTAATGTTACAGACAATATACTGACAATACATACAAGATTTACAGATCAAGAAAAATAATCCTAGATGTATGATAAGGGTTTATTAATGTGACTTATTCCTGAGACAAAATTTGAAGTATGTGGAGGAATAAAAGTACTGGGTATACATCAAGCAGTTCTTATAAGTAACATAAATAACATTTATTCTGTGCAGCCAGCTAAAGTCATACCCCTAAAAAAGGAGTCTAGAAAGAACACAAGCCCAAAACAGTAAGCCTCTCTACCTCACTGGAGTATGAGCTGAATGAAAGAATCTCTAGTCAGGGTCCAGATTATATTTATTTAACTTCAGACACAAACAAATAATCACGATACTAAAGTTTGATAGCACCAATAATTACAGCCTGGAAAAAATGTTATAGCAAATAATCAAATACTAAATATATTTGATTATATTATAATAAATATACCAAATATAATCAAATACTTAGCTGTTTAAAAAAAAAAAAAATAGACACTGTGGAAATGTGTTCAGAACAAACACAAAATGGCAGAGAATAGCTTACACTGAATACGATATCATCATTTCCTCTCCTAGTGCCAGCGATGTGCATCACACATTTACTTTAATTCAGTGTTCATCATGCCTGCAAAACTTCTGCACTGCTCCTGACAGTGTACTAATAGTATTTGAAATGTAATTTCAGACTTTTCCTGCACATTAATTTGTTTAAATGTTACACTGAGTCTTTGAGACATAACTGTAAATTTTCCATACATGAGCATGTCAAAAATACCTCTTTTCAAGAAATAAATTATGACATAAGGCTAGAGAGGAAAAAGAAAAAAAAAAGACTAAATATAGGTATAAAAAGTCAAGATCCTTTTTATGAAGAAAACATTGGGTCGGGTGGGATGGCTCACACCTATAATCCCAGCACTTTGGGAGGCCAAGGCAGGCGGATTGTCTTTTAGGTCAGGAGTTCAAGACCAACCTGGCCAACATCGTGAAACCCTGTCTCTACTAAAAATACAAAAATTAGCTGGGCGTGGTGGCTGCGCCTGCAGTCCCAGCTACTCAGGATACTGGGACAGGAGAATGGCTTGAACCCTGGGAAAGTGGAAGGTGGAGGTTGCAGTGAGCCAAGATCACGCCACTGCACTCCAGCCTGGGCCACAAGAGCGAAACTGTCTCAAAAAAAAGAAAACATTAACTGGAAAAAGATTCTGTGAGTGTACACATATAAAAGATGTTAGAAAATACCCAAGGACAGAAAAATATGAAAGCATATTTAAAAAAAAACCTAGAAGTTAAAAATAAAATACCTAAAATTTAAACTCAGCGGATAGGTTTAGCAACAGATGAAATGTGACTAAGAAGAAAATCTGAACCAGAAGATGGAGCAAAAGAAACTACCAAGAATGTAACACAAAGAGATAATAGGAGCAAAGGGAGACAAAAATAGATGAAGAATGGGAAGATCAACCAGACTGGGCAATAAAGGGAGCCCCTCACCCCGCCCCTTACAATGGTGGTACGTGCCCGTGGTCCCACCACTCCAGCCTGGGAAACAGCAAGACCTTGTCTAAAGAATGGGAAGGTCTAAGAGTCATCTGGAGTTCTCAAAGGAGCAAAGAGGTAAAGGTGGCAGTGATAATAATCGAGGAGATGATACCTAATAATTTTTCAAAATAGACACCTCTTTACACATTAACTCCTAGCAAGATAAAAAATTCACCCTTGATATCATGAAACTGCAGAATACCAAAAACAACTCTTATAGAAACAGTACAAGAAAAATAAGATTCACTTCTAAAGAGGGAAGAGGAAGGGGGGGAGGAGGAGAGAGCTGACTTCTCAGGTGCAACTGTGAGACAAGATTGTGGAATGGCATCTTTGAAACTGATGAAAGTCAACTGCCAGCTTATATTAATAAGCTTATGTTAATGTCTAGCAAAATACTCTTAAGAAAGAGGACAAAGTACACACAGAGGAAAGAAAAAAGAGTTTGCCACCAGCAGAATCTCACCAAAGTCATTTCTAAAGTGGGAGAAAAGTTATTCCAGGTGTGAAAAGGAATGAAAATAAAACTTACGTAAAACTAAAAGAACATTGTTTTGAAATAATAACTTACAGCTTTAAAACAAAGAATTTGAATACATTGCAACACAAACTGGAAGAATTATTAATGATCCGAAAGTGTGGGGTCTCCCAAATCCCAATTTTTCTTTGCCCTGACACAGGACACACAAAACACCTTGACCACTGGTGTAACCTAGCTAGCTTTATGTTTTCCCCTACAAGCTTGGACATTCCCAGGCACTGGTAAGTTTGTTTATATTGTTGCCCAAAACACTGCAAGATAAAATGTAGAAACTAGCCTTCACTGTCAGCTACAGTGAAGGCTAGTTAACCCTTCATAACCCCACATAAACTCCTTAAACCCCACATAAACTCCATATCCCAATCCCCTTGTTGCAGACATAGAAGAATATCTTTTTTTCTTACTCCATCACAAGTATCACTGTAGCATCCTGTAAGTTTCCTAATAAATGCTTTGGACTGATTTTGGAATCCCAACCAGCCCCATCTCAGAACAGTTGGGGGTAGCACTTGCAAGAACTTATCTGCCACTACCTTGGGGTGATAACCAGTGACAGCTTTGGCCAGACAGTGTCATAAGGTCCTTGATTGGATAAAATGTGGCAGTAAAAACACTTGAGAGGATACCTAATAATTTTTCAAAACAGATAAACCCTTTTTCCCATCTGTTAAGTACTCATTAACTTTATGTGTTTGTACGTATGTACATATATATGTATGAGACGGGCTTGCTCTGTCATCCAGGCTAGAGTGCAGTAGCATGATCACACAGGCTTAACCTCTCAGGCTCAGGTGATCCTTTCACATCAGCCTCCTGAGTAGTAGATACACAGGTGTGCAACACCATGTCATGCTAATTTTTGTTTTTACAGAGATGAGGTTTCTCCATGTTGCCCACTCTGGAAATATTAAAATTTCACATATAAGGTAAGCATTTGTAATTTTCAAGTTAACAACTGAAAGAAAATAGTATGAATTGTGTAAGCTGGTGTGTATAAAATGGAAGATGGAGAGAGGAATAATAAAAATGCCCCAAAAATATGAGGAGAGAGATGAACACAGAATGAGAAGGACAAAAAGAAATGTAAGGAACTATGATATAAACCCAAATACACCAGCAGTTATAA